CCGCAAGGCCGCCACTGACCCAGCATTTAGCCAATTCTGTTCTCCCTCACAGGACCTCATCAGCTGGAGTGTGACTCCAACTTTGAGCCTCGAAGAAGTTCAGTTTTATAGAAAACTGTCCAGTGTATGAATATGAACTGTCCAGTATATGAACATGAACTGTCCAGTATATGAATATGAACTGTCCAGTATATGAATTTATCAGGAACACATATTTGAATCAATTTGAAAAACCTCAGGACATTGAGAGACAATGATAAATTACCGATTATATTAGGAGAGGGTCCATCAGCGTCCACTGCCGCCAGATACATGTACATATCAGTGTCGTTCACTCCTGGAGAGAGAGTGACCACCAAACCACACTTTTCCATATGTCATATATGTTTTCCTTCTTAATTACACAGATATATTTAATAACTTTTTATCTCTCGTTATATGCAGCATGGATATATCAAATAGGTTATGTTTCATTATTTCCCATATTATTAACTGATAATTTACATTTTTCTCTTCTTTATTGTTATATTGCTGTATATAAATATAATAATATAAGTAATTTTTTACTTTACAGGAGAAGGAAAAAACATACTTTACTTTTAATGTAAGTCAAAGTAACCAGACCTGTTTCCAAGTCAGTTTGGGTCATTTCTTTTGGTCCATTCATCATGAAATTTACACAGAATGTAAAGAACAACAGACATTTTCAAACTATGTAAAAACAAACTGAAAAAATGGCAAAAATGGAGATACAAGGATTTTTGTCCCGATAAAAAGCAGCGATACACACACTCATGTATGCATATATGCTGAGAATGACCCACCACCCAAATAGTACCTGCTCTGTGAGGGTCCATGGGGGTCCTGACCACTGAAGAACAGGGTAAAAGGGGGCTAACAAAGTATCAGAGAAACAGATGGACTACAGTCTGTAACTGTAGAACTACAAAGTGCACCTATATAGTAAGTGGAGCTGATAAAATGGACAATGAGTGTAGAAACAAGGAGGTGGTCATAATGTTATGCCTGATCGGCATGTATATAGTCAACAATACGGTCAACAATGTGGTTATTGTTATTATTTGATGGAGAACATGTTCTATATGGTTCTATAGAGAACTTTTTAAAAACGTGTTCTTCTGTTGTTACAAGCTTGACAGCATAACAACAGAAGAACCCTTTCTGGTGCTATACAGAATCATTTTCTATATAGAACCATTTAACCATGCAAAGAACTATGTAAGCATGAAATGGTTCTATATAGAACTCACAATTCTAAACAGAACCGTTCTCTTTACCCAAGACTCATCAGACTTTTCAGTTAAAAAGCATTTTAGAAACAAGCGCCCTGCTGTGCTCAATACAGATACAGACGGAAGGTTTACAACAAACCCAATCATACTCGCTTAAAAAGATGGTTCTTCAAGGGTTCTTTAGTAAAGAAAATGGCTCTGTATAGAACCACGAACACTCAGAGAACCATCTGCATCCCTAGATGGTTCTTTGCAGTGGTGAAAACATTTGTCAGACTGATGGAGAATGTGTTGTAAATGGTTCTATATAAGACCAAAAAGGGTTCTTCTGCTGTTATGATGTCAAACTTGTAACGATAGAAGAACCCTTTTTGGTCTTATAGAACCCTTTTCTAAGAGGTTCTGTATAGAATCATATACATATATATTTTTCCACTCTCCCGTAAAGTTATCATTTTGGAGATACAAGGTTTTCTTCCGACAGCAGTGATACACACACACACACACATACACACACACACACACACACACACACACACACACATATATATATATATATAGATAGATAGATAGATAGATAGATAGATATAGATATAGTTTTTCAGTTTTTGGCATAATTTGAAAATGCCTGTTGTCCTTTACATTGTGCTTATATATATATATATATAAGCATGTAAAGTGAAGCAGCTGAATAGGATCATAATGTAACTGCTTTGCTATTAGACAGTCAGAATTGTGGTGCTAATTTAAGTACTGATACAATCATTCAATAATACAATGTGAATTTTGTAATCATTTACCAATAAAAACAAAATAAACAAAAAAATATTTCATTTTTTCCAAATAAATTTGACTTGACTTGACTTTCAATTTTCGTTTCTAATTTCAATGTGTATGAAGTCGCTGGCTTCTCTGCAGACATTAGAGACCAATTTAAAATACTGAATAAATGCATTCTATGGCAGCTTTATGATGAACACTGCGGCCGAAGTCCGAACTGAACCGTCATTTCTTGAGTTTTGCCACTTGAACAAAACTGAACCACAGCAGAGTTTCTGCTCAGGCTGCATGCTCGGCCCACAGGTCTGGCCACCTGCTGGACACTGAAGGTTTTACACAGAACAAACCACTTCCAGATCATCCCTCACACCTCAAACAGAAGAGCTGTTACCTGTAAGCATGGTTTTTTGGGTTTTGTGTGTGTCTTTCTCTTCACAGGTGTGCCTGCTTTCTGTCATCAGGGATCTCTGACCAATCAGAATGTGGACCGGTGTAATTAGGGGAGGAGCTTAATGTTTAAAAGCTGCATTCAAGCTGAGTGAAGAGAGCGAACTTTACCTTCAACTTGCTTTACTTCGGCCTGTCTTGTGTTGTTTTACAAGAGATTATTTTTGCCACCTGGGGTTCCAAACAGGTACGAGGGGCACCTGTACATTCACACCCTGTAGAGGTCTGCTCTGTCCAGCTCCCTGGGTCAGAGGGCACTGCTGTGTGTCCTTCTGTTTGCTGGTCAGGGACGTTTAGTGTAGTTTTTGTTCATTTTGTAGTTCAACTAAGTTCCTCTGCTTCAGAGCAGGTAAGCGTGTCTGCTTTGGTCCTTTCTTTGGTGCCATCCATGGTTCGATTCTTCCAGTGTGGTACTAGATACTATAGCACAGCACTTTTATTGTGGTTGGTTTTAATAAAGTAGCATCAAAAGATCTTATTAATCTGTTCTTTGTGCTTTTATCCTTAATGACCGGCTCAATGATCCCACAGCGCCCTGGATGCAACACAAGGTAACAGTCTAAATTCTCCATAATAGTACATTAAGTTTACTCTGCAGTTTTGTTTTCATGTTTTTGAAGAGTTCTTCAGCAAAAAATGGTTCCATCTAGAACCCTTTGCATTGTGAAAGGGTTCGTCAGACCAATGGAGAACACTGGTTAGATTGAGAAACCCTTATTAGTCCCCCTGCATTTTGAACCATCTGTGCAGTGAAACACCACATGAACACACACTAGGGGGCAGTGAGCACACTTGCCCAGAGTGGTGGGCAGCCCTATCCGCAGCGCCCGGGGAGCAGTTGGGGGTTAGGTGTCTTGCTCAAGGGCACTGTTAAAATTGATATCGCTACATACCAGAACCCTTTTCAAAAAGGTTCTATATAGAACCATCTGCAGCACTTTTGTGACAAAGTACTATTTAATTACACAGGGTTCGGAGTGTTCATGGTTCTAGATAGACCCATTTTCTTTACTGAACAACCATCTTTAAGAGTGTATACTAACTGTATCTCCCCTGTTAATTCATTAGCAGTGGTGGACAGTAATGAAGTAAATGTAGTTTGTTACTGTACTTTAGTTTTTTGTGTATCTGAACTGTTTCCATTTTGAGTGACTTTACTTTCACTCCACATTTCGAAGTCAAATATCTTACTTTTCACTCCACTACATTATGAGAAATCTGTCGCTCCTTTTGGTTTGTGTATTAAGCGCGCACTTTGTTTTGACCTGTTGGTCATACCGACCCAGTGCAGCTCACAGTTCAACATCAGTGCAGCAGCGTAAAATTTTGGGAGTCTATTCAACATAAATGATGAACTAACTGAACTTTGTGTAAACAGACCACAATATAGAAATATGTACTCATATGCAGTTGTGACTGATGTGTCTTTATTCTGAATTTATACAAACATTTCATTTGACAGTAAATTACTTTTGGCTGGTTTATGTTTATGAACAGAGACCTACAGATGCAGTTTAGTAAAGGAAACTCATTTGTGAATCTGAGTTTAAAGATTTTATTAAACTTAAACTTCTGAGTTCAAATAAATCTTAAACTGAAACTTCGCTTGTTTGTAAAAAGTGATTTCAGAGCCACTCAGTTCTACCTGATGGAAACTGTTTGCCTTCAGTGTTTTGTGTTTATGATAATTTTAATAGACATCAGCGTCACTAATTAATGACATTCTATTAAAAGACTGGTTTACCAAGAGATACACTGCAGTATTTTCACCTAAAATGAGTTAAAGAAGCGAGTCTTGTTACAAAAATGATAACAAGACATTAAAGTCATAATTAATCTTGGTACTTTCACTTAATACTTAAGTACATCTGAAGGCAAATACTTTTGTACTTTTACTCAAGTGGAGGTCTAAAGGGAGGAACTTCTACTTTTACTGGAGTAATATTTTACCTTGTGCATCTCTACTTTAACTCAAGTACATGATTTGTGTACTTCATCCACCACTGTTCATGAGTGTCTCCACTCAAACCTCCAACCACTTAGGTTCATTTCACTTTTGAGCTCAAAACCTTTGTAATGGCTGCATAATGCAGGTTCCTGCTGAGATTTGTTGCACAAACAGCTCCAAGCATTGTCTGCTGGTAACAGACCCATAAAAATGTGGCACTGAGGGACACAGAAGTGGGTAAACTATGCTACTGTCCAGCATTTAGAGCAATGTTATGCCCACTGCTGCACCACCCTCCTAAAAGACCTGCATGACCAACCATGAACATACTGCATGCTTACACCATTCACGAAAGAGGCGAAAGGCTTTTGGTACTTTTTTTATTAAATAACTCTGCAGGGCTGCATGACAACTCATGAATCCAGACAGAGCAGGGCGGGGCGACGCTCAGGCAGTTTCCTCCTTGGCAAGACGGTCCTTCTTGAGAGGGTCCCTGTAAGAGACAAAAGCAAAGCACTGGTCAGAACAGTCCAACTCTTAAAACACTATAATCCCTGAACCGACTGATATTTGCTTGTCGCCAGAGAGTGAACAGGGAGTTATGCACAGAGAAGCTCCACTCCCCTGCCTCACTGAACATTCTTATAGCACTGGAATGGAACCCAAATTTCAGACTGAGTTTCTGAAACAGGTTACGAACAGTGCAATCAGAGCTCCGCTTGGGCTGATTTACTCCCTACAAAAGCAACAAGCATCATTTTATAGTGTTCAAATTCAAAAGGCCCAATCAACCCATTTCACCCCTCCCACTCGTCCCGATTGTTGAGAGAGGTGTAGGGCGAAGTGTTAGAGCTACATGGCCCTCCAGAGGTTTGAGACAGTGTGCTTTTACACCCCCCCAAGAAACCCACAATAATTATATATTTCTATTTTCAGGGCTGCAAATAATTTGTATTGATCTTCAATTAATCAAGATATTCAGTTTGAAAACTACAAAAAAAAAGCAGGAATCGAAAATCCCCCCCTTTAAAAAAAAAAAAACGTTTTTGGTCATCGATTAGTTTGCAATTAAACAGTCGACACCTATTTAATTGTTGCAGCTCTAAATAAATTTATATATGTTAAATAGTTTACTAATTTATATTTTGTATATTTAATATTTTATATAATTTTATATATTTAAGTATTTCAGTTAAAACAAATGATAACTGTTTCAATCATCAAGCACAAACATTAAACAGTGCTGCCATTCTCACCTGGTTAGCTAGTGAGCGTTAGCTGCCAGCTCTGCTTACCACAGAACAGGTTTGATTTTGACCAATGAGCTTTACTGAAATTTAAATAATGACTCGGCTCTGAGGACGAAGCAAAGCGGCAGAACCAAAATTAAACCTGTTCTCTGGAGATGGAGCCTCATAGCTAAGCTAATGTTAGCCGGCTCCAGCGTCCCAAGTTAACTTGGCATTGCTGAAGCAACGCAGACACCCCAGCGCAGGTCCGATTCGACTAACCGGTGCTCTTATCACAAGTACAGATATCTAATTGGCCGAACCGAGAACCCATTTGGCTTGACAGTGGAAGAGATGCCAGTGACTGATCCACTGATTGAAGATAAATAAATCAGGCACATCTGGATCAAAAACCTCTGTATAACAGCCTCTGTGCAGCCTGTAAGCTAAAGACCACCAATTACTCCCAAGTGCTCAGCCAGGCACTGCATCCATACACCAGACCTAAAGGGGCTGTGATGGCACAGTGAGTCACAGGAGCTGATGCAGTGGTCAAAGCCAACCTCAGGCTCAACCGTCCTTCATCTCGCTCTCTGCCAGCCTCCAGCTGTACGAGAAACCGCTTCGCATGCGGAGTCGTGACTAAACAGGATCCCTTTCCACCTTCAAGCAGTCGCCCCAAACTCACCATGAACGCCTTCTTCTCGTCGGCGGTCTGGAAACGCCCGTGGCCAAACTTGGAGGTGGTGTCGATGAACTTGAGGTCGATCTTCTCCGCGGCCTTGCGGCTGGTCTGCACCAGCAGGGACTTGCGCAGAGTCAGCACCCTCTTCTTGGTCCCAACAACACAGCCTTTCAGCATCAGGAAGTCATTTTTCACCTCACCATAGTGGACAAAGCCACCCTGTGGACAAACAAGTGTTTTTACATAAGTCAAATGTTACAACTGAACTTTGAATATTTGAGTTTACCAATTACACATTAATTGCACACAATCTACCTGTAGAACTACTATACCATTAAATATTAATACTGGTGTGGTCATAATTGAACTGGCACTAAACCAACCTGGGATGAAGAGTTTGTATTAAAAGCTATGAATGACATTTCAGGCATCATACAATCTCTCCTGCACAATGTTCTAACTCAATATATGGCTATACGTTTACATGCAGACTGATAATCTGTCAATCAGACTAATAGCTCAATCGGAATAGAATACATCCATCTATACATCTCAGTCGGAACAGTCTAGTAAACTGGTCATTCAGAATACAACTACTGATTGAACAAGGTGGTTTATCCTGTAAATAATCCATTAAATAGAGCAATAACAGCCGTGTAAACACCTTTATCTGATTACATTCCCAAACTTAAACTTTCCGTATGTTCTGCGCATAATCAGAATAAATTCGATCGGATTGGCCAAGATATCTGCATGTTATTAAGGTCTATTTGATGAGCATTATAACCATTTAGGGCCAGTTTAATATATAGGCCAATTTCAACCAGTCCAAGCATCAATCTTCACCTCAGACATTCAAAAATAAATAAATTCACCAATGTCAGAGGTGAAGACTGCTGGGTCAGATTAAAGTTAGAAGTATATGCATTTGTCATTTTACTGCATTTTTAACCATAAAGAAATGCTATTTAAGCAGTGCTAATCCATTTAGATGTAGTCCCAAGTCCTACATTTAGATGTAGGCAACAAAAGTCAGCATATTGGCTGCAATCAGCCAAAAATTCCCATTTTCAGGGCATCCCTATCCCTGCATCTATCCTACCTAAACGTGGGAATTGTGGACCATTACACTGTCTGCATGACAGTTTGTCCAATTCAGACTCTAAAGCATCAAAGCACATTCTAGCACTAAACTTACCATTGGGTTGATGCTCTTGTTGGAAAGATCGTAATCAGTGGAGGCGTTGTTTTTGATCACTTTGCCATCCTTTGTGTGGTAACCCTGTCCGACCTTGTAGATCTAGAGGAGAAAACGGGAGAATCGGAACGTTAGCTCTGCAAACGAGAGCAAAAATAAGCCTCAAACCTGATCAGACGTCTTTAGCAGAGTGAAGCATAAAATGAAATGGTTTCACAAGCAAACCCACCTTCTTGTTGATCTCAGTGCGGTGGTGGTAGCCCTTCTGACCAGCACGGGCGACGGAGAAGGCCACACGGGCTGGATGCCAGGCTCCGATACAGGCCACCTTGCGCAGACCACGATGGGTCTTGCGGGGCAGCTTTTTCGTGTGCCAACGGCTCGTCACACCTACAAAAACGAGTCCGTTAACAAAGAGCGCAACAACCGTCGAGCCCAGGTTGATCTCAGCTTCTGTGGCGTGCTTTCAGAAGGAAGGCAGCATGGGGTATTTCCTCATGCTTTTCGGGCGCCATGCCTGACGCAGTATCCATGTTTTTCATCACCAAGCACTTGCAGCCATAAACAGCCACCAATTTGAATTAAGTGCCAATTTAGAGGCTACTAGTCTTCATCCATCGATCCATTTGGCTCAAACATGTTCAATCAAGCTATTCCTCAAACGTTTTACTGCACTTAAAGGCACGTACCCTTGTAGCCATGACCCTTGGTGACTCCAATGACGTCAATCATCTCATCCTGGCCGAAAACCGTGCTGATGGGAACGGCCTGCTCCAGCTTCTCTCTGGCCCAGTCTACCTTGTCAGAGATGGTGCCTCCATTCAACTGGATCTCCATGAGGTGGGACTTCTTCTGCCTCAGAGGCAGCAGGCGCATCTAAGGGGAAACAATAATGATGTGATTGTGTGTAAATGTCACTTTAACCAACATTCCTATATTAAATCTTTGCTCAGCTTAATTTAATTTGCACTCAACCAAATTAGGATGCTGAACAGTTTAGTGAATTTCATAGCTTTAATACCTTTAAAAAGGGCATCATACCATTTCTTCTGCACAGCAGCCACATTTACTTGCAGCCTAATCTGTTAACATTCCAACTAACAGCTCAATCAGAATAGAATACGTCCTTGTAAGCACCTCAGTCAGAACAGTCTAGTCCGATTGAGGCCATTCGGAATACAGTTTGTCTGATTGAATGAGGTGCGTAATCCTGTAAATAATCCATTAAATAGAAGAATAATCTGTGTAAACGCCTGTATCTGATTACATTCCCTATCGGAAATTTTTAAGTACGTTCTGAATGTTCGTCACGTCATAGTGAAAGTTTATACCGTTCGACATGGCGGAGCAGAAACTGGTCTGCAGAGGAGACGAAGTTTATGCTCTGATCTTTAAAAGACGGCGGTGGGACGGACGTCCAGCTTATGTGTCTCAGAACACGACGTCTTCCTTTAATAAGGACATGTGAAGGACGTTTTCCTGAGTCTGACATCATTTTAAAGTAATTAAAAACAAGCACTGCTCACTGCTGCTCATCTCACTGACTGGACTCACTCGTTGTCATGGCAACATCTACACTAAGAAGTTCTCTATGCATGTGCGTCATGTTGGATCTGATTATGTGTAGTGAGCATGTAAACAGATTTCAGATTGTTGATTAGAGTGAGAATATAAACACCTCAGTCTTCATCTAGAACCTGAATGTATTTAATCAGATTGGCAAAAGTCTTTGCATGATGTTATTAATGTCCTTTTGATTAGCATTATAACCATTTGGACCAGTTTAATATACAGATTGATTTCAACCTGACCAAGCATCAATGACATCATCTCATCCTAGGAGAACTCAGTGCTGATGGAAGTTTAGTTACTACAATTACATTATTCAATTATATGATTTACAGTCTTGCCTAGTGTCAACTGTCCAAAATCTGACCATCTGTCCTCAGGCAGTTTAATTAGGATGCAATATGAAAATCATCGGCACACTTTGGCAAAAAACTTGATACATTTACATTTACATGTCAAAACCCTGGGTTACTGCACTTTTTACATTATAGTTCCATTTCCTCATCGCAAATCTAGAAACAGATGCAATTTCTACACTGGGTAGACTGGTGCATACCCACTGTCTAACACCTCCAGGTTAATATACAACATTACAGACAGCGCTTTTACAAAAACCGAGCCATGAGCATGTTTAAACAGCAAAATTCATGCGACAGAGCTAAATAAACAATGTGTAAAACCTAAAAATATCAAATTACCTCCCCGGAAGGGCAAACAGATAATCTAATGATTGTGCTTCTATATTTCCAGCACACAATTCAGGTAGACCTCCAAAACCCCAAACCCTCACCTGAGTGTGGGCGATGATACGGACGACCTTGCAGTACTTCTTCATGGCAGTGAAGTCCTTCTCCAGCTGCTTTTTGCCCTCCTCATCCTGCCACTTCTTGGAGTACTTGGTGAAGGCCTTCTTCTTGGACTTGGACCTGTACAGGTGCCGCAGAGGAAGAGAACATGCAGGTTTGCACACAGCTCCTTCATAACCCTTCAGGGTCAGAGGAAGGAGGCTGGGCAGAGCGGCTAGCCCGTCCTCAACTCAGCAAGGAGGGCATTGACAGCTCTTGTGGGTCGTTTTGGCTCATGGCACGGCTTCTAAGGAGCCCTTTCCACCGGCCAGAGGAGCCCGGCGCTCATCAGGGCACGAGGCGCCTGAGCGGAGCTGCACCACACCGACATGTTAGACTGACTCAGGGCAAACATGGGGGCGTTCACACTGGACAGCAACAATCAGCTCCAACACAACTGAATACCAGCCATAAGTGTGAAATGTAATCATTTAAGCCTTTAAACCTACTCAAGTACTTTTTTTGGCCATATTATGATTTCAGAGCCATGTGTTTTCGACCCCTTTCACTACAGTTTCTCTCCTAATAAGAAACTTATTAAAAGCATCTTTTTTAATTGTGGTGAAGTTGATATTGCCTGTGATTAGTTTCGTATGGACATGAGGGAGGAAAAAACAGCTGTGAATCTGGTTCTTACCAGTTCTTGTAGAAGCGGCGTCTGCACTCGTCACTGATGTGTTCAGCGAAGATGGTCTTGAAGGAACGCAGGCCACGAGGGGTCAGGACGTAGCCGACAATGCCAACCACCATCATGGGAGGGGTCTCCACAACGGTGACTGCCTCAACCACCTCCTTCTTGTTGACCTCTATAAGTAATCATTTGTAAATGTAATCAATACTTCTTACCTCCAAGGTTAAGGATAAGTACACTTAAAACTCTGCTCTATAGTAGAGGCTGACTGATAAGCCGATACTGGTATCCCAGTTTTAAATTGGGCTATTAGCTTTTAATAACTGCAAAAAAAATTAGGTACTTATTTGGACTTTAACAGACCAGTAAAGCACTTACTGCTGGAATGATCAGTTATCAGTCAGGCTTTGCTCTACAGCAGACCGTTAGTATGACTGCGCTCAGTGCTCGACATTCAGCAAGGGCTTTTGGCCCAAATATGTCCGCCCGTCGAGGGTATCATCACTGGCAGACCCCAGTAACACAAACAAGCCTCAGGCATGTTTCAAGTCAGCTACCCCACTAAAAATAAACATCACCCCAAAACAAGCTCTGCAAAAAACTCACTTGAGCCAGGTCTGTCGACCTCACGGACAATGTGGGTCATTCCAGCCTTGTAGCCGAGGAAGGCTGTGAGGTGAACGGGCTTGCTGGGGTCATCCTTGGGGAAGCTCTTCACCTTACCCCGATGGCGTCGGCTCCTCTTGCGGGGCAGGAAGCCCAGAGATCCGTGGCGCGGAGCCGAAAACTTACGGTGAGACTAAAAACAAATAAGTAGTAATTTTGAGCACATCAGATTCCACCATCTTGGGTCACAAACAAATAAGGAAACAATTATGCTTTATCACTTCACGATTATATCAGGATGTAAACAGCGGTTTGTTATGAAAGGCTACGTTCTAAAGAAACTTGGAACTAGACGTCTGAAGAGTTTACTAGGTACGCTGTGTGACGCAAGAGAAAACTTGGACTTGGTGCTCACCATTAACATGGGTCTACACAGAACCATAAATGCTCAAAGAACCTTTTGTATGATTCAAGTGTTCTTCATATTGATGGAAAATGAGCTGTAGATGGTTCTATATAGCACCAAAATCTTTGAGTGCAGAACTAAGCACTTCACACCAAACCACTCTGAATGACCGATTACCCCACATGCTTAACCATTTAATTTTGCACAATTTTTGAAAAATTGGTGGAGCTCCCCTTTAAAGGCCTTTGTGCAAATAGATCACTGTTTTTTAGTCTGATCTCTTCCAGTGAAGCTCATGTTCAGGCGACTCTCAGGTAGATCTGACCGGCTGATCAGAGGCTTTTACACAAACTTGAGTCCAACTCCAGTGCATGCCATCATTAAAGGGGACAAGGGGAGAAATTCTGAAATTAATTGAAATAGGTACATATTTCCAAGATTTTACTTTTTGCTCATCTTAATATTGCTAACTTGGAAGAATAATTAGAAAAGATTGCAAATTATGAATTTAACAGCACACTCCAATGTTTGGAGTCCACTAAAAAAATGGCTGGACCTGATAGTTTTGCGTCGGTCCCTAAATCTGCACTAAACTGCACATTCAGAAACTCAAGACATGCAGATTCCCTAGTGGTAAAAATGGCTTTAGTGGTGTTGGACATCATAACCCCTGGTTCCTAATCACCATCCCTTAATGAATCTCTACAGTGATCCACTTCACATTAAACCACTTTGATCTAGATTAACTACTGAAACAAGCAAAAACTTTTAAAAATCGGTTGTGTTCCCCTGTTGGGTAAACTCGGCTTGGACAACCGTGTTCACTCGCTGGACCAAGCTAAATAAGCCACTGAATCACACAGCACAATCAAGAAGTCTAATTTAAGTCTAAACAGTACTTTTAATGCCAACTGTGTTTGTCCTAAAACAAAACTAGACCTGCTCCATTTCCAGGAAGCCATTTCAAGGATTTAAGCGTCAAATTATATGCAATAAAGCAAACTGCATGTGCTCATTTCTGCTGTATATTCATTTTACTTCATAAAAAAGCTTAAAAATGAGTCAAAAACATTACTAAAGCAAAACTCTGCTCACCGGAGGCCATTAGGGCTACATGCGTTGGCCAACGTTAGCTCAGGTAGCTAACCAGGCCGCATCGCCCCCACAAACTCCACAAGTTTAACTTATTACAGTATAACTTATGTTTAAAATTAGAGTTAATGCAGAAGCACCTCCAACAGGATCTGCCTTTAATATTTGAAATAAGCCACTTATTAATACGATAAAATGACATTAGCGAGTTAGCACTGACGCCCGGTCAGCAGCCGGCGTTCCCACCCGCGAAAACTACCAAATTAAACCCATCTTCGACCGCCTGAGGCACAAAATATAACTCCTACCAGGTTAGTTGAACATTAGAGTACCGCATTTCGGAAAAAGCAAGTACATAAAAGCAAGGATGGCTGAAATTCCGACTTGATTAAACAGAAACAGGCCTCACCATTTTGTCTCCGATTGAGAAAGAGGCCGAGCAAACGTGCCCCGCTTGTTTTATATGGACAGCGTGGACGCGCACGTCAGTGCGTCGTTGCGTCAGCAGAGTCAGCAAGCGCGTCCATGTCTCTACAAATATGATAAAATAATAAAAGTCTACCACGTGAAACTGATTTGTCAAACACGTGTCAGGTCCGCGGCGCAATCCTACAATTATTCTAATATTCTGACAATATTAGCCCGTTTCACTGTGACTTGAACTACAGTTCCCAGCATGCACTGCAACGTAACGTGTGCTCCCACACCCTCCCCAACAACGACCAAAAAACGTGTAGCGAATGTATATTTAAATAAATGTAAATTAATATGAACAACAGACTTATTATTTAAAATAAATGTTTTAAATATAAAACAATTTATATGCAGTTTTTATATAAAATTATTTTTTGAATCGTTCGATTCAGTGCCTATTTTTTTGCAGTTGTAGTTTTGGCATGTTTTGAACAAACAATGGCCAGTCAAAATTTTATATAAAAATAAAATAATAACAGCTGGCCCACAGATTTGATGAGATTTTTTAATATGGCCCTTTTAGTGGTTGAGTTTGACAAACCTGATGTAAAGTATACAGTATAAACACACATATGTTACAAATATTTAGCATTTATAACTTCACTTAACAGTTATAAATGTAAGAATTTCTTCATTTAAATCTGGAAAATTTTTTTTTAGAAATTAGAGAAATGTGAAACACCTGCAATAAAGACATATTTAAGATTCTGCACTATTCCTAGGTCACTATTCAAATTTAAGCAAATTTGTTGATGTTGACTGTGTTAAAGGGGAATTCCACCAATATTTCAACATTTCTGAATAATTGAGTGGCTGAGATTATTATTACGAGTTATCCAGAGTGGTTTGGTGTAAAATGGTTGATTGGAGAGACTCAGATTCCTTTACAGTGGTGGTGATCGGAACCAGGGGTCGCCATGACTACAACACACGTATTGAGCTGTTTTATTTACTATCCAAAACCACCAGTGAACCTACACAAGTCTTCTGAGTTTATACACAATGTTGATGGCAAAATAGTGATAAATCTAAAAAATTAGTTTTCTTTGACAACTATTTTGCCTCGCAACACCCTGCATGCATCCTTCCACCAGGAATTAAAATATATTTTAAGCTGAAACATCACAAAACTATCATAAATAATTGTCTCAGTCATCAGGCAGTGAATTCATGAACATTTCATGTGATAACCTTTTTGAGGAGGACGTCTGGTTCCTATCACCACCACTGTGAACAATTCTGACTCAGTAAGTTTCTCTAGAACAGAGCGTTTCACACCAAACCACTCTGAACGACTCTGTTTACAACATTTTGTTAACCATTTAATTATGTAGAGTTTGGTGGAGTTCCCCTTTAAAGGCCTTTGTGCAAACAGGTCAGAGTGTTTTTTAGTCTGATCTCTTCCAGTGAAGCTCACGTTAAGGCGACTCTCAGGTAGATTTGATCTGCTGATGAGAGACTTTCACACAAACTTGTGGAATCCAACTCTAGTACATGCTGTCATTAAGGGGGACATACCACCAAATACAGAGAAATTCTGAAGTTAATAGAAATAAATTATATATATATGATATAAGCAAAAAGTAGAATCTTGGATGTACACACACACACACACACACACACTATATATATATATATATATGTGTGTGTGTGTGTGTGTGTGTGTGTGTGTGTGTGAGTGAGTATGTATGTGTGTGTGAGTGTGTGTGTGTGAGTGTGTATGTGTGAGTGTATGTGTGAGTGTGTGTGTGTGTGAGTGTGTCTACATCCAAGATTCAACTTTTTGCTTATATCATGTTGATAACTTGGAAGAATAATTAAAAAAGATTTGTATTTGTATTAAATTAGAAAAGATTTTTCAACTTTGCTCTGCAATGTTTGGAGCCCACTAAAAATTGGCTATAACAATGATGATGAAATTTGAAATACAGCAAAATAAAAACAAAACAGAAATGCAAGAATTGAAAAAAGGAACAGATGACTGGCAACGACAGCTGAGACCAAACAAGCAAGTTTGTCTAGCATTCTCTTTTATTAAAAACTGATAAAAACAGATATCAAGTGATGTTACAGGCCTGTTTAATGATTTTACTCTCCCACATACAAACCATGGTCCCTGAAATGACGATTTCTCAGAAAACAACAGATAATACCTTCTAGTGAAGGGCATAAACACAGAGTCTGACACGTTTGATACATTAACAAAGCCCTATTCATATCAATAACAACAAAAGAGGAAAAAACAGGCCTTGAACATCAGCATAGTGCCTTGGTCTTCCTTATTTAAGTGGTTTATGTAGTAATTTTCAACACCACCTAAGCAGACCAGCATCCAGCGCTTCATATTTCTTACTTAATCCCTAAAAATCACTCACAACTACAGCACCAGCAGACAGAGTTCACTTTCAGTTGAATGCACTGCGAGGAATTCCACTGATTTTACTACATAACTAAGTGGTTAAGATGTAAACAGAGTCGGTCAGAGTGGTTTGGTGTGAAACGCTCTGTTCTAGAGAAACTTAAGAGTCAGAATTGTTCACAGTGGTGGTGATAGGAACCAGACGTCCACTTCTAAAATATGCTGAGACACTGTTTTACAATATTGTTTCAGTTTAAAATGTGCTTCTGAAACGTGTTTATGGTGGAGGGGTACATTCAGGACACCATGAGGCAAAATAGTCCCCAAAGAAAACATATTTTTCCAGATTTTCCACTATTTTTCCATCATCAGCATTCCATATAAAACTCAAGACACGTAGGTTCACTGGTAGTTTTGGATAGTAAATAAAATGCCTTTATCTGAGTTGTAAACATGCTGACCCCTGGTTCCTATCACCACCACTGTAAAAATATCTGAGTTGATAAGCTTCTCTATTCGCCTATAATCCACTGATAAACCACTTTGAATGACTTTGTTTACATCCTCACAAATTACTTGTGTAGAAATCCTGAAAAAAGAGTGGAATTCCCCTTTAAGTCATTCAGGATAGTCACTTAGGCTGACTTAGAACACGAATATATGTATGCATCTGCTGCTAGTACATAAAATATGACAAAGAGACATTCAGACGTGTGTGTCGCAGCCATTTTCTCCCCAGCAGACACTAACGGCCGTCTTGTGATTCCAGTGAATGACCAGCAGGTGGCTGCTGCACACAGATCTGCTGGTTCAGAGTGGCAGAGCTCGGCCACGTGTGTGGACACGTGAATGGAGGCCACGTGCTGCCAGAAGCTACTTCATTAAGATGAAACGGCCACAAATAAATCATTCGCTAAAGTCTCTCTCTTCGCTCCCATGCAAATAAGGGCAGCATACAGAGGTAGAGTTTCTGCCAGCAACAAGATTAAATTCCCTGTTCCACCTTAAATGGTGCAGCAGTTACAATCGGGGCACCTTAGGCACCAGAATGCAACTGCCGCAGCATTTAAGGTGGACCGGCAAATTCAAATAAGAAGCCAGCTTTAGCCTCGTCTGCCAGCATGCTTTGGTGCCACTTCAGTGTATGACGACGGAGCACCATGCTACGTCAATGTTGCGTCACATTTCAGGGGATTACTAAGCTTTAGGGCTGCAAAATAAACAATATGTTCACAATAAGGATGTGCTGGAAGGCTACAATACACACAGCCATCTAACCAATCAGATTAATTTTACTGTTTGTATATGTTTTTGTTGGAGTTTTGAAGAAAAGTCTATTATTTTGAGCAAAATATTGCCACGTTACATTATTGATTGGATGCATTTGAATATATATCGCAATATACAGCAATACAGTCACATCGCTAGTATTTTATCCATATCGTGCAGTGCAGCCCTACTGAGATCCACAGCTTTACATGGTAAAAGTCCCACAGCTCCCATCTGTGGGCTTGCTGTCTTGTCATAACACGTCCAGCTTCACTCAGATGTATCTTTAGTCCAGCGCGGGACACATGCAGAGGCTGAGCTAAAGGCAGTTTCGTTTCTGCGGACGCATATCTGTCCTGTTTCTGTCCAGCAGCTCCTCCACAGTGGGCTGGGGATAAATATAGAGGCTGAATCCAGCAGCCAAAACGTCCTCAGGCTCCTCTCTGCTTCTGCTCCTCGTTGCGCTTGTGGAAGAAAGCCTTTCCAAACTCGTACGTGCTGATCATGACTGCGCACGCCGGGGCCACTTTGATCACCCGTGGAAATAAGCCTGCAAGAGTGGATATCAGGTTAGGGTTAAATATGTAAGAAATAATTAAAAACTGAAATGAAAAACAAAAGCGTAAACGAATGGAAAGTTATAACAATCAAGGTACGCAATCAAGGTAGACCACTCCCCATCACTTATACAGCTACATAGATTAGGCTCCTTACCCACTTTAGTTGAAGCACCTACCTTGTGCTTTCACTCACTGGCCACTTTATTAGAAACACCTGCCTTGTCATTAGAAATCCTAGCTAATTTATTAGAAACACCTACCTAATCTTTCACTCACTGGCCACTTTATTGGAAACACGTACCTTGTGCTTCCACTCACTGGCCACTTTACTAGAAACACCTACCTTGCGCTTCCACTCACTGGCCACTTTATTAGAAACACCTACCTTGCGCTTCCACTCACTGGCCACTTTATTGGAAACACCTACTTGGTGCTTCCACTCACTGGCCACTTTATTAGAAACACCTACCTTGCGCTTCCACTCACTGGCCACTTTATTAGAAACACCTACCTTGCGCTTCCACTCACTGGCCACTTTATTAGAAACACCTACCTTGCGCTTCCACTCACTGGCCACTTTATTGGAAACACCTACTTGGTGCTTCCACTCACTGGCCACTTTATTAGAAACACCTACCTTGCGCTTCCACTCACTGGCCACTTTATTGGAAACACTTACCTTTTAGCTCCACTATAATTGTATAGCTGTGTGCAATTAGACATTATAGTCCATTGGTTGCTGCACAGTTTCTCAGACCCCCCCGTCCTCTAGTTCATTCATCATTGGTCAGCTTCTGACCACGGGTTTGCTGTTGTCCAGATATTATTTGTGTGGTGGTCTTTTCTCAGCAGTGACACTGAGATGGTAGTCTGTGTGTGGTGTTGGCATGAGCGTAACAGATACTGCGGTCAGTGTCACTGCTAGGTTAAAAGTGGTCAACCACCCAAAAATATCTAAAGATATTTAAGACAAGAGCGAAATCTGTGTGTGGCTGACCACCACAAACTGTGCATTAACAGATGAGCTACAGTTTCTAACTGCATACCAGCATTGTGGAGCTACAAGAGAGGGGTTTCTGATAAAGTGGCCAGTGAAATATATGATCATGTTTTTGCTTCTGGAGGTGAATAAATTTTGCTTACAGTCAATAAGAGTTTCCTAAAGGCTTCCACTGCGAGGACACTATCACTACTCAGCTAGCCAAATGTTACACAAGAGTTATTAACCATCACAGCAGCATTTACCTGCAAACAGCCCCCGATACCCCACCTCACTCCAGATATTCTTCATTATGTGCCATGTTGAAGAGGGCTTCTTCAGCGGGGCTGCAAAAAACAACCAAATATGTTAGGTAAATGTATGCAAATATGATTATATACCGCAATTATTGTAATAACGTAATTAACAGGGAGGCACAATTACATTGGAATCATACTGATACTGGTAGACAATTATTAAAATAAAAAACATTAAATTTGACTGACATTTCAAACTGATGATTGGATAAAATACACTATACAGACAAAAGTATTGGGACACCCACAATTATTGAGTTCAGGTGTTTTAGCCACAACCTTTGCTATTATGGTATAACAGCAAACACTTGGGGGGTGCAGGGTGAAAAGCACGCCGCCACTGGACTCTGGAGCAGTGGAAACGTACTCTGTGGAGTGACGAATCACTCTTCTCTATCTGGCAGTCTGATGGACGAGTCTGGGTTTGGAGAATGCCAGGAGAACGTTACCTGCCTGACTGCACTGTGCCAGCTGTAGAGTTTGGTGGAGGAGGGATGATGATATGGGGCTGTTTTTCAGGGGTTGGTCTAGAACCCTTAGTTCCAGTGAAGGGAAATCTTAACCAAGACATTTTGGACAATTCTATGCTTCCAGCTTTGTGGGAACAGTTTGGGGAAGAACCTTTCCTGTTCCAGCATGACTGAGCCCCAGTGACCAAAGCAGCTCCTTAAAGGCCTGACTGGGTGAGTTTGGTGTGGAAGAACTTGACTGGCCCTCTCAGAGCCCTGACCTCAATCCCATCAAACACCTTTGGGATGAACTAGAACGGAGATTGTGAGCCAGACCCTCTCGACCAACATCAGTGTCTGACCTCACAAATGCTCTTCTGGATGAATGGGCAGAAATTCCCACAGAGACTCTCCAAAATAGTGTAGAAAGCTTCCCAGAAGAGTGGAAGCTGTTTTAGCTGCAAAGGGGGACCAACTCCATATTAATGCCTATGGATTTAGAATGGGATTCATAAAAGCTCCTGTGGGTGTGATGTGTAGGTGTCCCAATACTTCTGTACATATTGTGTATTTGTTGCACCCTGAAAGAGCAGAATGTTTAGGAGGCACTGGGTTCCAGGTGGATTTAGCTCCAATATAAACGTTTATGCGTCGGCATGAACAGATATGTAGATCAAAACATATCGGACATCGACACTGATCCACAATTCCCATATCAGTGCATCAATTGTAATTAATAAAGTAATCCAATGTAATTAATTACAATAGCAACAATAATAACTTGACTTCTAAGAACTAAATACGTGACCTGCAATCACTAACTTTAATTCTGACTAGATAAATTCAGAATTACCAAAAGAATAGTGGTTAATTTTTCATCATACCTCCTAGAGTGTCCATCTCTCCCAGCTGGATCTGCCGGCGTGTTTTCACCACGTCAAACGGCAGGGTCATCACTGCGGCTATCTGCGCAGGACACAGGACAGGTTCATTAGAGAACAAACACAAGCTGACATTCACTTGTAGTATCTGATAAACATTTACACTGGAGATATACCTTAACAGCTTAATATGCTACAATTAATCTCCATTCCTTTTATCTTTATTTTATTACTGTGATCTTTCACACTATTATTTTTTATTATCTTAATATCCTGCCTACCCTGATTATCACTTCATCCTGTATTACCCGTAAGCCATTATTTGAGACAATCAATGTTTTATTGCTGCTTATTAGGCTCATAGATTTTTCTTAATAAGGCTGTTTTTATTTCCGAGTTGTTTTAATAACTGTGTATTACTATTACTTTTAAAGCTCTCGGAATTACGAGTACTGTATGAAGCTTGGTATACAAACAAAGTTTGAAACGACTTTATTTGCACCTTCTGAAATGTGAATTTTGAAAAAGCACATATTGAAACTAGTGGGTTTTAGGGGATGAACTGTCACAAATATTTACCAAAATAAATAAACCTGATTAGGTGTTAATACTGCACAATGCAAACCAACAAAGAACTACTTCTACGCTTCAAGGCGCTTCCACAGAGGGCAAAGTTGAAGCTGTCTGTGGTAATGAAAACTTTGACCCCTTCACTCCCCTTGTCCCACGTTCAGCCCATTAACTCAGCCGCAGGGAGCCTTCTGTGCTCAGCACCGGCGCCCTGGCTGATGATCAGATCAGCCACCAGAGAAGATAAGACACTGTTATATAAGAGGAGAACCAACTCTGATAAAGTTAACAGGCAGTAAATAAAACTGCTCCTTCACTTCACCTCAAACTGAACCGCACTGTCTGCAAACGCCAAGCTGTGATAGTGCTGCTTCCTGATTGAACAGAGTTACACGCAAGAGCCCCATCTAGAACCGTTCTGCATTGTTCCACTGGAGCTTCAATTTAGATCACAATATTTAAATAAATAAATAAATAAATAAATAAATAAATACTACCAATATCACTACTACTACTAGTCATCATCGTCCTGACCGTCCAATTCATAGCAGGTACTGAAAGATTCATAGCAGGTACTGTCAAATTCATAGCAGGTACCATCCAGTAAATAATTGATAGCGGCTGTAAAATAATCTGTACAGGCTGTAAGATTAATAACTAATTAATATTATCAGGTTTCAAGGGAAAAATAATTTATGTATTAGCTGTCAACATCCAGTTACACAAACATTTGGCTCATAAGCCAGATCATAAAAAGGTTTTACTTTTATTTTATTTTGTGCACAACAGACCAAACATAGCGAATATTTGCATACAAGCAAAGCAAAATCTTCCCAATGTGACTAACTTTAACTATTAAGATAAATATTTAGATTAGTTCAGTGCTTAAACAGAAGGAAAAAATGAGAAAAAAAAAATATATATACATATATTATAAAAAACAAATTATAAAAACAAATTATAAAAAAAAACACAAACACAAAGCAAGGTTGGAGTAGGATTAATAGGGAGGGTAAAAAAAACAACAAAAAAACAGATTTTTGTGACAGGAAGTGGACTTTGGCTAATCTTTTGAAGGTGTTCAGACTGATACGGGTTATCAGGTTGAGTTGCGGACACTTCCAGATAGAAGGTCCTCTGTGGGAAATTGAGAATCGATTAAGAAGTTCTGCAGAAAGCAGGATGTAGGGTGTTAGAAGATCTGAAGTGAAATAGTGATGGGTTTCGAAGTTATGCTGAAAAATGTTTTGGAAATAGTCCAATGAACGAAAAGAAACTGGCTGACTTGAAAAAGGTTCATTTAATGAACATTTCAAAATAATTATGTTCAAAAAAGTGGACGAGAACAAGCATAATGTGTAAGAATTCTGAAAGTACTACCCCAATTAATGTTACAGTATGACAGATATGGAGATATTATAAATTCGATTTGTCTGATGACACCAATATTTTTAGCTATTGTTCTTGATATTTCTGCAATGTGATTTTTCCAGCTGAGTTTCTTATCAATAAGTGATGCCAACAAAATACTGGTGTTGGACATGTGTACTGCCACGAGGATATCAATTCCTTTTTTGTTTCTTGGAGTAAAGAGCATGTAAGAGCTTTTCTTGATGTTAACGGACAGTTTGTTAGCTTCAAACCAGGTACTGAAATTAGCTAGTTCGGCGGTAGTATTGAGATTAGTCTGTAGCCGTCTTTGTCGGGTAGGAAAACGTTGGTGGTGTCATTAGCAAACAAGATAAAAATAAAATAAATAATCTCTTAGCAGGCAGACACAGGTCAGTCACACAGATTAAAGACAGGGTCCCAATATTGACCCCTGAGAAACTCCACATTTGACAGTCTTTAGACACACTGTTTTCTGTCTGATAACTAACTTCTAAACCTAAATCTAATTCTGTGTTGCGGATGCTACAGTAATAAATGCCAGAATGTGTTATGGTTAACAGTATTGAATGTTTCAGACAAATCAGTGAAAATTTCTTTATTTCATTGCTGTCAAGTGCCTTTGAATTCATCTGTTGAATTCAATCTGTTAAATTAGAGCCGTAGATGTCGAGTGTTTGTCTCTGAATCCATAATGGTGTCAGTACTGAGCCATAATCTGATTATAGACTATTTTTTCAAAACATTAGAAAGGCAAACTGATTTGTGAATTGGGATATCTTTAGCCCTATTTTAACTGTTCAGGAAATAAACCAGAGGTTAAAGACTGGTTGATACTGTGAAGTAAAGGCTTGCAGATGTATTGGAAGCATTTATTGAGAAAACGTGGTCTTAGCTTATCGAGCCTTTCCAAGGGCTCACCTCCTCTAACACCGCCTCATAGAAAATGAAGGAATTCAGTAATGGGTGGGACAAAAATGTGTCAGGTCTATTGTCAGCTAGTGAAGGTCCAATATCAGGGCTGCAACTAACAATTATTTTAATTGTTGATTAATCTGTTGATTATTTTCTCGATTAATCGATTCGTTGTTTGGTCTATAAAATGTCAGAAAATGGTAAAAAAAAAAAAAAAGTCAGTCTTTTCCAAAGTCCAATAAGACGTCCTCAAATGTCTTTTTTGTCCACACCCCAAAGATATTCAGTTTGGTGTCACAGAGGAGTAAAGAGCAGGAATCAGAGAAATGTAACTTTTTTTTCCCCTTAAAAAATGACTCAAACCGATTAATCGCTTACCAAAATAGTTGACCATTAATTTAATAGTTGACAACTAATCAGATTGATCAATTAATTCTTGCAGCTCTATCCAATATTATCAAAGTTACTAAATGCATCGGCAATATCTACTGAGTTGGTAATGCTTTGGTGATTGTTTCGTTTGAATTCAGTGATTGGGCCAGAACAGATATCCTCACTGATAATGCTCCATGTGTTTTTCATATCACTATAATATGTCTGGAATTTGGTTTAGGCAATATTGCTTTGTTGCGCTCCTGAGTTTATTCAGTGATTTGCTGCAAAAGGCTGGGTATGTTTTCTGCATTAACAGGGCTGGATTTGTTAAATAATCTTTTTAAAAGTTTGTTTCTACTAATTTCTTTCTTTAAAGCCCTGGTGAGCCAGGATTTCAGAGTTTGTGTGTGTGTTTAGATTGATGTGGAAAAGTTAAGCTGACCGTTTGGTTAATAGTTTCACTGAAAGCACATTATGCTTTTTGAGCACTGGTCAAATTTGAGACACAGTTGATGTATCTAGTGATGTTTCTGTTGCCGAGGGTCCTGACGGTAACCTTTTCGTGTAGTTTGTGGGTTCTCTGAGAACGAGCAGCAGCTCTGAGAGGAGCACAGCTATGTGTTGTTGGGAAAGGAGCTTTAAAGGGAGAGAAGGCTGTAGCTGAATGAGGGTTAGAAGGATTGGGTTAGTCTACTCACAGCTCCTGAAACGGCTCCTGCAGTGAAACTGACAGCAAAAGAAGCCTGAGGCCCGCTGTATCTGTCACACAGCTCCGCCTTCACCAGCTCATAGTTAAACCAGTACAGAGCTGCAAACACACAAGAGTATTCACATCATCATAAACATATAATAATAATACATTTTATTTATTTTGCACCTTTTTCAGACCCAATACAAACACAAACATTAAAAAATGTTATATAAAAAAGAAGGAATTGTAAAGTAACAGACAGCAAGACACAAAATATAAGGAGAAAATGGAACATGTACAGGAATTATTATGGATGTGATAAATATAGAGGGTTAAACATGTATTGTGCACTGTGATGTATCGATATGAAGGTGCAGTAGCATTCAGCTGTATTGATTCTGGAGGAGTGTCAGAATCAATTTTAACACATTATTAGAATAACAACATTTAGTACATATGAGCTCATTTTTTCAAACACTCGTGCCATTTTCAAACAAAAAATCCCTTTTTTAATGTTTTTATACTGTACCAAAATAATTAAATTGAAATAAATCATGCAGGAAAGTGAGAATGCATTATTTCTAATAAAACAATTCAACACATCATAAAATCTTGAAGGGGAACTCCACCAATTTTTCAAAATTTCTGCATAACTAAATGGTTAAAATGTAAACAGAGTCATTCAGAGCGGTTTGGTGTGAACCGCTGTTTTACGATACTTTACGATTTGGGGCTCAAATGTTGTAAACATCACAACTCGATTCCTATCACCACCACTGTAAAGAAATCCTGAAAAGAGTCAGTGGGTTCATCACATCAAACCCGCTGAATGACACTTTTCACATTTCAGCAGCTGAATTATGCAGCAATGTTGAAAAGTCAGTGGAATCCTCCTTTAAATGATTTGATTCAAAATTCAATTCAAAATGATTTAAAAAGCTAAAAATGTTCTGATTTAATGCCATTGATTTTTTTATGTTGTAACTCCATTTTCAGGTCCTGGATTTTATAGTTACTGGGAGGAATGACAGTAAGTGGCCAATCGGTTGCATCAACAGTTCAGTTAAGTGCCATTGATCACAAAATCCAGGACTGGAAACTGGATTCAAAGTCCTCTGTTATAAATGATCATAATCTACTGACCAGAGAAAGGGACGTCCCGTAGGACGGTAGGCCCCCAGCCCCTCCAGAGAGACAGCCAGCCGTTCTGAGTCACGGCCGAGCGTATACAGACTCTCAGCTCGCTGTAGGACAGCTGACGAGACTGCATCTTGGTGCGCACAAGCTCCAGAGGACTGATCACAGTCACTGCTCCAACTGCACACAACACACACAGAGAAACACACATACAGTCAGACGCATAAAACCACAACAGCATACAAAGAAATAAAAACACTAAAGTCAGAAACACTCAAGAGTGAGCCAGGTGTGTTAAAGGGCCCATACCAGGGAAAACTGACCTTTCTTCATTTTTTAAATTGATTTATTTTTTTTAATCAAAAAATTTGACATAGTATGTAAACATGGATAAAGTTTCAAATGCACTGTTCACTGCCCAGCCCATATGTGGAAACAAAGCTGCAAAGACAGAATTTTTGCTTTTATGATGACACAAAACCAACTCATTTACATATATCAACCTTTTTAGCCTACAGTAGTTTGGCCCCTCCTATTGGAGTGTTTCAGCCCGGACTGCTTTCTGAACGAGGCACAAAACAGTGCAGCCAATCAGAACAGAGCTCATTTACATACATCAGTCTTAGAGGCACAGTAACAAAAAAAGCCTGTTTAATTCCAAGTGACGAAGAGGGGGTTGGAAAACAAATGAATCATGGAATATGAGCCTTCATAGCTGGAAAAACATTGAAAAATTAACTCACGTCTGGCCAGCCCTCCTGCAATGAGGGGCACGTGGGTGCCCTGGTAACCCATGCCGTAGCGCAGGAAGTCCCTCAGCTGATCGTAGCAGGTGAAGTAGATGACCGTGGCAGGAACAGCCATGACCCTTCACAACAAACAAAACATGGTCTTTATCTTACACTACAAATACAGTGTTCTGGGTGAGAAAATACACACAAGAAAATGATGGCAAAATGCTGTAGAGGAGTAATGAAGCATTATGTGAATAGACTGCACTACAGGTCTGCCCTCCTGACCGCTCCTGCAAGATTTCAGCCTGTTCCCGCAGAAATTCGGAATCATCTGTCCCGCTCCCGCCCGCAACCAAAACGTTTTGTCCCGCTCCCGCCTGCACAGTTCAGTCAATGTGAACCGACATCGAACATCTGATACAGTCTGTTCACAAATACATTATCCTCTGCTGAAATAACATTGTGTCGTGGTCATCAGGCTCACTGTGAGTAACTTCATCAAACGCTGTTTATTTCCAGTAAACACAGAGCAGGAATTAAACCACAGAGCGTTATTTGTGTGTTTTGCTGGGCAGCTGTGGCCGGCGGACTTAAGGCTCCGCCGTCTCTGTAAACTACGAGAATTTGTGTGTTGTTCATGTGATCGGCTGCTTCGCAACTCTTCAGTATGACTTAATTCATGTTAATTCCTTTACTGTTATCCTTTTACATACGATTCATTGATTGCTCTACTTTATTTAGGCTATTCATTAACTAGCGGGATTTCTCTTCATGCGTCCTCGCGCCTGCAGTGGACTGGTTTTCCACCCACCCCAGCATGCAATACTGAAAATTAGTCCCGTGCCTCAAGATACTGTGGTGGGTAGGGCTGCAAATAACAATTACTTTCAGTGTCGATTAATCTGTTGAGTATTTTCTCGATTAATCAATTAGTTTGATCTATAAAATGTCAGAAAACGTTACAAAAAAAAAGGTGATCAGTTTTTTCCAAAGCCCAAGATGACGTCCTCAAATGTCTTTCTTTTTGTCCACACCCCAAAGATATTCAGTATGGTGTCACAGAGGAGTAACAAGGTCTTTTAAAAATCTCTGGAAGCCGGTGTTTTAATGAAAACTAAACTTAAGTGTAGTGTTAAGGGGATGCAGTCTATGCTTTACAGTTAGTCATCTGAAAAAGCCAAATATGAGCCCTGAATGAAAACCACTGTCCCTTGAAACCTCGTAAACATTAGAGTTCTTGATCAAAAATGGCACAAATTCACACTAGAATTGGTTAAAACAGAACAGTATTCCAAAAAGAACTGAAACTGAGCTATAGATTACAATCTCAATCAAGCAAGTAGATGCTAATGACCTTTAAGCAAGCTAGATAATGCTGGGTGGGATCTGCCACCTTTGTCTTGCAGATTATACAGGGCACATTATCACATGTTAAAGTATGTTAATCTTCTCAGGAGTTTTAGAAATCAGGACTAACTTACAGTGTTGGAGGCAGGCCGCTCCACAGAGACCGCAGACCCTCGTGCCTCGTGATTTTCACAAACGCATCCTGAAAGGAACCAAAAACATCTTTTTATCATTATGACTTTAGCAAGTTTTTGCTGTTTGAGTTTTAAAAAAACATTGACAGCTAAGAACCACAACTGTAACTGCAATATTTATATCGTGTAAAACTGAAAAAGCAAGGTACAAAACAGTGACCAATAACATTTGGAGTAAGAGGGTAAATTTGGTGTAAACGTGTGTGTTTTATTGGCAGTTGTCGTGATTTTTAGCTCCTTAAAACTGGTGACAAAATGTTCAAATCAGTCAGCGTGTGAGTGGCAGCCTACCAGCGTCCCGCTGAAGTGAGTGGGCGTTTTGTACCAGGTGCTGCAGGTGGTCATATTCTGGCACACGTAGATGTGGTCCATCAGCCCGTTACAATACAGAAAGCACTTCCCTGAAAGTGGATCAAAACAACAGAGTCAGAAGACTTTCAATAAAGTCAATACATAAACATTAAAATTCATCATTTAAAAAAAAATTCATGCATTATCAGACGAAACATATGCTGATTTCAGAAGATATGTTACAATATGTCTGGCCTTGCTTCAAATATTAATGGAGTCCTATAAAGATAGTTTCAAAAAATAAATAAAATACACATTTTCACCTTTTACCAAATTACGTGATGCTCTACCAATCAGCATTATGCTAACTGCATGTCTAAATCATCTGGTTTTAAACTGTGTGTAGTTGTTCAGTAAAGCTGCAACTAACGATTATTTTCACAGACGATTAATCTGTTGGTTATTTTCTCGATTAATCAATTAGTTGTTTGGTATATAAAATGCTAGAAAATGGTGAAAAATCATCAAATGATATTCAGTTTGGTGTCACAGAGGAGTAAAAAAAAAAACACAAAATATTCACATTCACAAATCGATTAATCGACTATCAAAATAGTTGGCGATTAATTTAATAGTCGTCAACTAATCGATTATTCAATTAACTGTTGCAGCTCTATTGTTCGGTAATCTCTAAAACACTTTGTTCATGTGGTTTCTGACACTGTATGACACACTGTTATTTATAAATATGGACTACTGTACATTCTCATAGCTAAACACAACAACAGCAGCCATAATGGATGAATTTTGTGTCTACACTTTTGTTGATGATAGAGCTGAAATCTTTTCATTAAAATCACAGTTTAAGAGTGCAATTTTCAAATTGGAACTTTTTTCATAGCCTAGATTATCAACAACACTGTCTTAGCAAGTTTTAAGTGGGGGTATTTAACATAACAGTTTGTGAACTGCTTGTAGAAGTTGAACCAATTAAATTACGCTTATTTATTTGTTTTTAGCCAAATTCTATTTACATTTCAGGAAAAAACACTGTTAAAAAGATGTTTTTTTAAAGTTCAATAAATGCATGACGCTTCCAAAGTCAATGTGTAATTGTGTTAAAAAATCATGATCTCAATACTGACCAAAATAATCATGATCATGACATATAATCATAATAGAGCAGCCCTAGTAACAATCATGCTAACTGGTGGCATGTATGCTTCCATCAAATACTGCTTGTAGGAGTTAAACCAATTAAATTCCTTTTACTTTTTATTTGTTTCTAGTTGAGCTATACTTAAACTTAAAAAGTGTTAAAAATTGTTTTTTAAAGCTCTCTAAATGCATGATGTTTCCAAAGTCAAAGTGTAATCATGTTAAAAATATTATGATTAATATTGACCAAAATAATCGTGATCATGATTTTTTGCCATGATAGAGCAGCCCTAGTTAGCACCATGCTAACTGGGGGCATATAAGCTTCCATCAGTGTTTAAATTAGATTTTTAACCTAACTATGACTTTAACTTTCTCAGGCACTGTAGAACTGACACAGACTGAGGAGGACGACCCAAACGCAGATAGAAGCAGCTATAAATATTAGCGCCCATGGAAGTGTCCAAGCACACAGGGCAGCCACAACAGTGCTAAGTAAATCTGACCACTCTGAATCTGGCAACAACACACTGCTATTTTTGGCATTCAGTCATTCACGGGGACACCTTCAAGGTTAACCCCCGAGTTACAGGGTTCAAGTGCCTTGGCACGCGTCCTGTTTTCTTTCCACTGGACAAACTCCTGCAGCTTGATTCATCAAGGATGAACAAACATTACCATTTCAATTTCCCCCGGCCATGTACACAAACCCTCTGGCCTCTTACAGTGAATTCTACAGTCTTATCAGAGCGACAGTGTGCTCATTTCATTCTGTTCAGGTTATTCAGGGTTAATGCCATCATCTGTAGAGAAGGACAGTGGCTGGAACAAAGTAAAGTCCAATCAGCAGCTTAATCAGTTAAGTACAAATAGTTCACACAAACAAACATGAAACCAGAAGTCAGTGTAGATGTGAACAGTCAGGCGTGGGAATTTACTCAGTTACAAGAACGTATGTACCATTTGGATGGATTATTACTTCTATTTCCAGACTATTACACTTTTACTTCTACTCAAGAATATGAATGAGTAATATACACCATATAAGTGTGCAGGTAGCCCTACTTAATATTAAGCTCAGGTGTTTCACAGCCATCCAATCTCCATTAACAAACACTGGCTGTGTTTACATGCAAAGATTGTTGCCAGAACGATTGAACACATTCCGATTATAGATGAAGACTGAAAGCGTTTATTCTCATTCCACTCAACAATCTGATGGAAAACTTCTGTTTTACATGCTCGCGACAAGTAATCCGATCCAAATTATGCATGTGTAGAGAACCACTTAGTGAGTCCAGTCAGAGTGAGATGAGCAGCAGTGAGCAGTGCTTGTGTTTTTAACTGCTTTGAAATGATGTCAGACTCAGGAAAACGTCCTTCACATGTCCTTATTAAAGAAGGCCGAGAGGAAGACGTCGTGTTCTGAGACACATAAGCTGGACGTCCGTCCCACCGCCGTCTTTTAAAGATCAGAGCATAAACTTCGTCTCCTCTGCAGACCAGTTTCTGCTCCGCCATGTTGAACGGTATAAACTTTCACTATGACGTGACGAACATGATCAGATCGGACTTAAACTTTCCGATAGGGAATGTAATCAGATACAGGCGTTTACATTGATATTATTCTTCTATTTAATGGATTATTTACAGGATTACCCACCTCGTTCAGTCGGATAGAAACTGTATTCTGAATGGCCTCAATCAGACTAGACTATTCCGACTGAGCTGTTTACATGGACGTATTCTATTCTGAATGAGCTATTAGTTGGATTATTAATAGATTATTAGGCTGCATGTAAACGTGGCTACTGGCAGTAGAATGTGTCGTACTGAATAGATCAGCGACTTCAAACATGCCACTTCTGCCACAAGTCTGTTTGTGAGATTTATGTCCTGCTAGATCTGCCCCTGACAACTATAAGTGCCATTATGTGAAATGGAAGCGTCTAGGAGCAAAAACAGCTCAGCCTCAAAGCTGTACATCCTCTGTTGAATCACTCACTACAGACTTACAAATTGCCTCTGGAAGCAACATCAGCACAAGAACTGTGCATCGGGAGCTTCATCAAATGGGTTTCCATGGCTGAGCAGCTACATACAAGCCTAAAATCACTATACGCAATGCCAACTGTCAGCTAGAGTGGTGTAAAGCGCCACCACTGGACTCTGGAGCAGTGGAAACGAATTCTGTGGAGTGATGAATCACACTTCTCTATCTGTCAGTCTGATGGACGAGTCTGGGTTTGGAGAATGCAAGGAGAACGTTACCTGCCTGACTGCACTGTGCCAGCTGTAAAGTTTGGTGGAGGAGGGATGATGATATGGGGTTGTTTTTCAGGGGTTGGTCTAGAACCCTTAGTTCCAGTGAAGGGAAATCTTAATGCTTCAGCACCAAGACATTTTGGACAGCTGGATGCTTCCAACTTTGTGGGAACAGTTTGGGGAAGAACCTTTTCCTGTTCCAGCATGACTGAGTCCCCAGTGCACAAAGCAGCTCCATAAAGGCCTGGCTGGGTGAGTTTGGTGTGGAAGAACTCGACTGGCCCTCACAGAGCCCTGACCTCAACCCCATCAAACACCTTTGGGATGAACTAGAACAGAGATTGTGAGCCAGGCCCTCTCATCCAACATCAGTGTCTGACCTCACAAATGCTCTTCTGGATGAATGGGCAGAAATTCCCACAGAGACTCTCCAAAATCTGTAGAAAGCTTCCCAGAAGAGTGGAGGCTGTTATAGTCGCAAAGGATGGCAACTCAATATTAATGCCTACAGTTTTGGAAAGGGAAGTCCAACAAGCTCACATAGGTGGGTGTGATGGTCAGGTGTCCACATAATTATGTCCATATATAGAGTTGCAGTTGGTATAAACTCTCAGTTTTTGTTGTTTTTCTAAACATAAAATGTCACCTGCCTTTTATTTTTTTTAATTTCATGACAAATAGACAAATAAAAAGTATAAAATGACTTAAATTACATGTAAAGTTAATGTTTTTTCCTTCTCCTGTAAAGATAGATTCAAAGTTTTTGTCCCAACAACTACAGCAAGTCTCTTTACCGCAGAGAGGGTACTGATCTCCTGCTGTCTGAACTGAGCTGAACCACATCACTATATCACCTCTCCTGTTAATATACACTGGGCAATATACCATAGCATACCATACCATAACTACTACTCTAATGACACTTCCACTATGCACTTTACACTGTAATATTGATGCAACTCCGAGTTAGTTATGTCTATAATATGTGCTTTTAGTTTACCTCAGACCACTCAGTGCCTGCTGTCACGTTAATACAACAAATCAGTCTCATATGTCATGTAAATATGTAAATAGATATACTTTTATTTTATTTCTCTTGTACTTTAACTTGTGTCTAGACTTATTTCTATTTTCTATTTTTCTGCATAGTATATGTAAGTTTACGTGCAATTATATGTCTTGCTACTGAAACACTGCAATTTCCCTTCAGGATCAATAAAGTTCTATCTATATCTATTTATCTATATATACATAAATTACTCAATTTATTTAGTGCATTTGTCTTATTCCATTTTTTTCTAACTTACTACTCCCCTGTAAAGCAGACTTCACTGCTCCACATATGAAAATTGCTCTATAAACTAAAGTTCTTAAAGATGAAAAGCAATAGCCACTTCAGTTCATACTACGTAGGGGTGTAAATCTTTATTTTTATGTTTGGGGGAAAAAAACACCCGATAATTTTTTTGGCCCACAAAACAACAGCGTATTTTATAGACTGTATGCCTACAAAAATGCAGTTGACACTCACTGAAGTATCAAAGCACACTGATGATTTTTCCTCCCTACTGCTGTCCTTCTCAGTGGACTACCTGTGTGCCTTGTTATCTCTTAGCTCCCCAGTGTGCTCTCGTTTCTTAGCAATGCAGCAAACAGCGAGTTCTTGTAATCGTCATGTTTTGATCATGTCTGTTTGTTTAATTGTGATTTTTGAAGTGACCGCTGCGACCCCCGTGAGTCAGGATGAAGTCAAGGGCAGACAGCAGTCACGTTACTGTACTGTATGCTCTGTCCGAGCTCTGTGCCAGCAGCTAGAGTTCAGACTGTGTTTACCACAGAGGACATGCAAACATATCAGCACACAACCTTATCTTACAGACTCCCTGCAAAATGTTTTTTTTGTTCTAATGTCTTATTTAAAGGTGTATAATTATGCGTAGTCATTATGTTTATCTACTGTCCAGCTCTATTCATCAAGGCATGTTACAGTACGCATGTTAATATCATTGGGCCTCGTTCATTTTGGATTTGTTCTTAGGTAAAAAAGATTTCCCTGGCATTTCACCCAAAACTGTTTACAACTGTTGTCTTGTAAGAAGGTTATTTGTTTGTCATTTGTTTTGTCATTTTTTCCTCAGGCTCTGTGGTTTTGTTTCCTCAGTGCTGATATTTCTTCTTTACAAGTGTTAAAATGAACTATCAATAAACTACTTCAATAAGCTTTAAAATGAAAAAAATGTTTAAACTGAATCACTTCAGTGAAGATGATGTAAATGTGGTTTATGGTACTTAAACTCTATTAACCCCGCAGGAGGAACTACACAGCTAATAGCAGACGGTGTGAGCGAGAGCAGTTTCAGAACAGATCTGTTACAGGATTGGATCACACTCACTACCTCCGATATCAGATCTGAGCTTCTTCTGCTGATAACGGCCCAATGTTGATACATGGTCTGTATGAATCTATTTATCTATCCATGTTCACAGCTAGTGAAGTTTTGGTGAAGCGTTAACTGGTTAGTGTAGCTGGTGAGCTGTGGCCGGGCGAGCGAGGTGAGAGAGAGCGAGCAGCGAGGTAATGGGATGTTTACTCACATTTTGAGGGACGCATCAATCCCCTCCAGGACCGCGAATCTGCTGGTAAGGCTGAGAGAGAGAGAGAGAGAGAGAGAGAGAGAGAGAGAGAGAGAGAGAGAGAGAGAGACAGAGACAGAGAGACAGAGATGCAGATACATGTAAAAGAAAGAAAGAAAGAAAGAAAGAAAGAAGGAAAGAAGGAAAGAAAGAAGGAAAGAAGGAAATAAGGAAATAAGGAAAGAAAGAAGGAAAGTTATATAGAAAGAAAAAGATGGAGAGAAGGAAAGGCATATAGAAAGAA